CTGGAAGCTGAGCATCAGCTCCTTCACCCCCGTCTCTCCTGATGCTCACCGTAAGCCCTGACTGCAAGCTCGAGCGAAGCGGCTGTGAACGTTGGCTCAGTGATGAATCGGACCATCTCGCCAGGTGGATCGAACTCACCTTCGTTCCTGGCACCAAACGTCCGGCAGAGCAAAACCGACTCGTCGCGAGACGGCAGGTCTGCAGGGTTGCTCTTCGAGGGCACGCGGTGGTACCACGCACCCACGGGATAGACCGAATCCATGACATTTACCAAAGACATCAGCCTGAACATCGCGTCCGACTGACTGTTCCTCTTCACGAGGGTGGCCAGTGCCGAGTTGTTGTCGATGAAGATGAATGCCTTGCGGTTCGCCATCCTTCGACCAAAAACCCATTTGGCACAAACCACTGCAAAGAGTTCGATCTCGCATATTATCTGTTCTCCAGCCTGAAGAAGCCATACCTTCCGAATCAAGCTGGGGACCAGCCCTGACAGGCATACTTTGTCGTCAGACTCCGGGTCAATGAAGAAGGCCCCCCACATCGCTCGGCCGCCCTCGTAGGATCCATCTGTGTACAAGATTACCGGCTTCCTCGGGTCGGTCACGTGCAACTTTCTAGGCCTCCAAGAAGATAGAGTCGCCTTGAGCAGGTCGTTCATCTGCTTGATCGCCTCCGCCCCGAAGCTGGCCGGTCTGGATGCAATACGCGAGCAGGTGCGAGCGATAGGCTTAAGAGAGGAGCCCAGCGTGAACCCCGAGGCAAAGTTCAGCAGCCCATGCAGCGACGTGGCCAGCTGCCTCAGGTCTTCGCCATCCTGGCACATCCGATCTGCCAAGGCTTGGATCCTGTCACTTCTCCCCTCCTTGTTCGCAACCTCGAGACCGCCGGCGTGCAACGAAGAGACATCAAACTGGGCACCAAGTGCCGTCCAGCATGTGCCGAAGTCGACCGCCTTCTTACCAGAAGTGGCATGGGTCCATCCCAAGGCAGTAAGCAATCTCGAGAACGAGTCCGAAGCGCTAGATGATGTTTGCATCAAGTCAAGCGTAGGGAAGTCGTCCACGAAGACCGAAGTGACAAGCCTCAACTTCTCCACAGCAATGTGCCACAAGGCTCTCGAGATTTTGTTGAACGCGAAGACCGATCCACTGCCTCCAAAGGGTAATCCCCGCGCCAAGTAAAAGGTCCACTGGCGCTCTCTGCCCGGCATGGCTATGACCGCATACTTCAGTGACTCCTCGAGGACGGGAACCTGCTTATAGGCTTTGGAGAGGTCGAAGCAACGGCCAGCCCATTCCGCCTTCTTGCTGTCGGGGTGCCATGGGCCAGAGAGAACCTCTCCAGAAGATAGCAAGACCCTAACTTCGTCATGGCGGCTCCACACATCCGCAACGAACATCGCCACAGCCGTCACAAAGTCAATGTCATGCATCTGCAAGTGCGAGGTGGATCCGAACGATGCGTTCACCCCCGAATCACGGAGGTTATCGATGACTCTCGGCTTCCTGTCCTCACCCTGGAACAGCAAGAACCTCTGGCTAGGCGACCAATCCTCGGTACCCAGCCGCTTCGTGACCGCCGCCTCGTCGGGGAACGGTCCCTCAAGGAAACCTAGTCGACACTCGTCTTCGGTCTCGGAGTTAAGGATCTCAAGCTCCTCGTCTCGAAGGATTTGAGGCGGCTTAGCAAGTAGCACCCGCCGCCTCCAGACAGCCTGTGAATCCAACTGCTCGGGGGTAGCCCTCATCGGTTTGGGTCGCGATGGGAACAAGGCGGAGGACGGCTCCACTCCGACAAGCGAGACACCTTCCTCCATAAAGTGGCACACATCCTGGTCGGGGAACTCCGTCTCATTCACAAGCTCCCTGAACAAAGCAAGACATTTGTCCTTAGTGATGGGATGCCCTCCGCTGGGACCCAACCTCGCGGCACGGGCCTCAATGTCCTCAACTGCCTTCCGGCGCAGCTCTGCAACGGCGCCAGGCCCCAAGGTGGCAATGTCGAAGACCGCCCTCCTTATGTTGTCGGGAACCGACCCAGCCGAATCAGCTGGGTGAGTCAGCTTGAGGGCTTCTTGCACGTGCTCCTCGCCCGAATAGTAAACTCCCCAAGCCTGGCCATGTGGGTTGTGAGAGTTCTCGTAGATCTGTCGGCCGACCTTTTCGTCCCCCGCGGCATTGGAGGGCGACTGAACCGAAGAGAGGGAACTGAAGCTTCTGCAGATAATTGACATCGTCGGACCGCAAGGCCGGCCAGTCCCTGGAGACGTAGGCAACCAAAGTCACTCGTTGACCCACCGCGGGCAGGACACGGTGGGGAAGCGCAGACTGCAAGAGGCATGGGCCGCTGGCAACAGGCAGGACTTGCTCTCCCACAGCCACACCACCTTGCTGAAATGACGATAGAGGAATGATCACGTTCAAGTAAGAGCGGTCATTGTGCTTATCAACATGCTCAGGCCCATAGAAGTCAGCAAAGACGGCCATGGAAGTAAAGGCAACCGTTGGCACGAAGTGCGTAACAGTCTGCGCGAAGAGGGCCGTAACAAACGGGAAGGTCCTGGTAGCAGAGTGAAGCCCCGTTTGGGAGCCGAAAACATAAGCCCCGGACATCCACGCTAGCCCATTGTCCTGCTTGGCCCGACGGGACCCAGAAGCCTGCGAAAGCAGGGACACCAGCTGCAGGGCCTCATCCTGAGAGACCTGGCCCTGTTGGAGCAGGGTCCAAGCCAACTTTTCGGCGGCCGCATCGTCAAGAGGCGGGGGAAGACAATCGCAAGGTTGTAGTGCAACTGGCCAACCAGGAGCGCCCGAAGGCCTAGAGCACTGGTCCGGCGAAACATCCGGCAAAGGCTTTGACGGGGATGCTGGGGGCCGGGTACTCCAAACCAGGGACTTGAACTCGGGAATAAGCGGAGGGTGCTTCATAGTCTGAGATCCCACCGCAGCCAGAGAATCCAGCCGGAAGCGCGCGGTTGTGTCGCGAAGCAAGGCAGGAGAGACAGCCTCAGAAGCAGCCTTTACCATACGCTGACAGAGCACGCGAGGGTACTGAGCTTCACTCGCCGTGTCAAAAGTCCAGGCTCCAGCAGTCCAACGATAACCATAAGGCAAATGCTCATGAGAACCGTCGCAGTCTGCCGTGAGCACGTCAAAGACACGAGGCGTGGCACGAAGGCGGGTGTCCTTCTTACGCTGGCCTCCATGCATGCACATAGAAAAATGCACATCCTGCAGGTCAAAGAACCACTCCACAAAGCCGGGGCATGTATGGTCGCGGCCAAATTCGGTGACCAGCGTGGCCAACGCAGACCAAGTCCAAGCGCGCACAGGGTTCTCAATGGTAACCAGAGCCCGCAGCTTCCAGGCTGCAAAGAGGCCATGGACACACGTGCGGTACACGGCATTAGCCGCGTCCACCTTGGCCTTTTCGGCAGGGGTCAAGTCGGGCAGGCCTAGGGGAAACCGGGCCGACCTAAGGGGCCTAGGGGCGGGCAAACCCTGGCGGCGCAGCTTGGGGCTAACGGGTAGCTGGCGAGCCCTGCTGGCCGTTCCGCATGGGAGGCCGAAGTGAATCCAAAGTGGCCGGGTGTGGTGAAGAAGATCAGTCAGGAGCTTGCGCGAAGATAGTTGTGTGAGGTCCATAGGCAAAAACGAAACTCTCGGGTCAAAACGGCTGCTGTGATGATCGATGGGATACACCTGCCATCCTTGAGAGGCAGCTGCATGAGACAAAACGGCCGAGCCACAGCAAATCTCGACGAAAACTGCGTACGGTGCACTGTCGGTACCAGGAGCTCCTAGTCACGAGTGCTTGCACTCGCAATAGGGAACTCCCTTGCGCAAGCAATCCTTGTGTCAGCAGTTGTGAAGTCCGCGGTCACAACGCTCCTTCGACTGCTGAGGGCACTTGCCGTGCTGGAAGAGGACACAAAGGAACTGGCGAGTCTTGGGCATACGAGATACACAATTCGGCGGGATGTCCTTGAGCAACTGCAAGATCTCAGCACGCTTAGGGTCAACGGAGTCATCCCACTTGCGCTTATTGTTGTTGCCCTTGTCACCCTTAGATCCTTTGCCGCCTCGTCCGCGACCTCCACGCGGTGTGTCTCGAGGCTCGGAAACCTTGCCATCAGACTTCCCGCCGGGGCCTTTGCCAGTGCCCTTGGGCAGATTCGCGAGGCACACATTCACCCGAGGGTGAGTGGAAAGTTGGCGCATGAAGCGATCAAGCGGGGGAGTGGCACCAGTGATGATCTTGAGCTCGCCGCGACTCTCCTGAGCGATAAGCTGCCAAAGTTCACGGTCAGCGTTGAGGGCCTGGGCGATGCTAGTGAACTTATGTCCCGGCGGGGGATCGCGAGTGATGGCATCGAACATGTTGGTGTGCCACTCCTCGTGAACTGCGAAGGAAAGAACACTGAGCTGATCAAAGGCTAACGCTCGGCGTGTGAAAGCCTCACGCAGACGGAGCTCCCCGTACACGTCACACTCAAGATCCAGTTGCTTCTTGGACACCTTCAGCCCTCCTTGCGAATCCAGGGTCACCTGCTGGCCCGGACGGTCGGAGGAGATCTCCAGAGCTCGGGACGGGCATTTGTGAGGGGGCAAGTAAGTCAAAGTGCCGGAGTCGAGCATCGCCTGGATTTTATCGATCAATGAATGGGAGGGCTCGACTCTCTCCGTGAAGATGATCCCGGGAAGCCTCTGCTTCTGACTCTGCAATCTTGTCATCCGCTCAGCAAGAGGGAGTTCTCGGGGCGGGTCCAACGAAGATCTCTCCACCCTCTGCTTCAGGTCAGAGATAGCAAAGGTATTGGCCTCATACCACAGTCGGCGCAGGTCGGGTATCTCCGTAGGATCCAACTTGCGCTTGAGCAGGTCCTCCACAGCTTGAATCAGGGCCGTGTCGTCTCCACTCTGAGGGCTGACGGCACAGATGTACGCCAACCGCCCGAAGGTTCGGATGCCTGCACCTCGGAGCGCCTCAGCGAACGCCTCCGGCATATTGATGGCCTTGGCCCGGGCAGAGAACTCGGCCTCGGATTCCAACATGGTCGAAGCCATGGCACCGGCTAAGGATCTCGTACGGATGCCTTGCAGTGAATACAAAATAGCTATGATCGATCACCATCCATCGCTAAAGGTCTGTAGAACCGAGAGACACACCGCTCGCAGGCGAGTCGCCTCATGTTTTTCCAGCAGCTCAGAATCGGCTTCGCTGGGCCTTCCACAATGATAAGTTCATTCCCGCGTGACTCGGGCAGCTCTGCACTGTTCGCAGAAAATGTTGCTGCCTGGCTGCCGGGGATCGAAGGCGCATTCATCATAGTTGTTATTGACGGCCCTCCCGCATCTCAAGAACGAGGCAGGGGACCCGACGGCGTGTACTATGCAGGATATCCTGTGCCTCACGTACGTCCCCGACTCAAGCGACTCAGGACCCCCACCTGGAGGGCCTGGCACGAGGCTTGGGAGCTCGCCGAGCCCGTCGTGATCTTGGGCAGAGACATCGGACTGCTCAGATTCATCAAGTTTTTCCAGGTCTTGGACCCGACACTCGGTTCGAGGCTCAATGTCCGCTTCCTCATTCAATCTCTGAACAAGGGTAGAAATCCTGGCTGCCCTCGGCAAGTCCGGGTCAAACTGACCGTTTCGGATGGCATCTATCAGATGCTGAAGCTTGGCCAAGACAGGGGTCATCACGTCTCGCCCATAGGTCACAATCATCTTTTCGTCTGGCGCGGCGTGGTGCCCCAAGACCCTCTTTTCATCCTTGCCAAAGCGACCGGATTTGGTCGCCCATGACAAGGGTGTCGCCTTCAGCGAATGTGTAGTCAGATCCTTGACCTCATCTGGCTCCATGCCGTTGTCACACAGGATTTCCTGAAGCCAAGCGCATCCTTCGGCTGACGTCATGGCCCGGTTCAGCCACGTCTGCGACTGCTCGGTATACGCCGGCATCACAATCTCAACGTCGTCCATCGCCATTCTGGTCCGCGCCGCCATCCAAGCAACAGCCCAAGGCTCTTCCTCGAAGGTGTGTCCAAGGGCCAGGAGCGGCATGAATGCTGTCCTCTCATCAGCCTTCTTGGCTGTCTTATGTCCTAGCATGACCGCCTCGATCAAGAAGATGCGGCCATGTGTGTCAATCCGCAAGTCCGTGGCTTTGGCCGCATCACTCCAACGCGCAGCCGAAAACAAACAGAACAGTCCAAATCCACCGATCACGGCGTGCAGGTCGCTCCCCGACAAGACCACCTCCTCAAGTCTTCGAACGGCCTTCACCTTATAAGGCGGTGCCTGCTTCAACGGCCGCTTGCGAAGATAGCACGAGTGGGCTGCACCTTCCACCCGTTGAGAAACTATATCGTCGTTGCATGCACTGCCTGTCATGTAGTGGAAGAATCTCCAGGACGAAATGAATGCGGCAGCTGCAGTCGGCGCGGCTTCGTCCGACCTGAGTGTACACACATAGTCGTACATGTCCTTCTCAAAGACCTTAAGTGGCCTCCCTTGCTTGATCTCGACCTGCCACTTGGCAAATCTCAGGTAATCACACGATCTCTTAGACAGCGTGCTTGTAGCCTTCTTGGCGAAAGTGTCTGAGAAAACCATCGCCAGTTGGTGCTC